GTGCCCAAACTGTGTTAAGCCTGAAGATGGAGCTTCTAGTTTCAAAAAACTCAATACATTAATATCTTTTGTCTTAAAAGAAAAACAGTAACGTATGTGCCGCAGATTCGCCACCTCTGGTCTCTTGTTTTTACAATATCTTTGAATCTAGTATCAGAAATGCTTGCCCACATTTTATGTAAGAAAAAAATACATATTTACCATTTTCATTGTTACTCATTTCTTTTTAGATCTAGATTTCTGTTGGTATAATTTTTCTTCTGCCAAGAGTTCCTTTCAACATTTTTGGCGGTTTAGGTAAGCTGATTTTGGGTTCTTTTTTTCTATGCCTGAAAATGTATTTCTTTTTCCTTAATTTTTGAAAGGTAGTTTTACTAAGTACAGACGTGTTTATACTTTGTCAGTACTGGCTTTTGTTCCTCATTAGAAGTGTGATTTCCTTTGTTTCTCTATATAATATGCCTTTATTTTCTTGCTTGTTAAGACTTTTCTGGCTACCATTTACATGGTAAATTTTTAGAAAAGTCATGTTATGTGAATGTATAATGCCCACTTTTTTTTTTTTTCTTCAGTGCTACGAATTGAACTCAGGGCCCTGCGCTTGCCCAGCTACATCCCCAGCCCTTGTGATTTCCCGTTGCGTCAACATTAAGTGACTGCTGTTAATTTTATTAGTTTACTATAGTTTTGTCCTACCTTGTACCTGCCTCACCTCATGGCTTTGCTCAATAAAACACCCTTGAGAGGAGGGGTTGGTGGACAACTCACTTTTTTACCCCATCTCTATTAGAAGCTTATTTTAAATTCTTCCTACTCTTAACCTCCATTGTTCCTAGAATTCATTCTTTTTGAGTTTAGAGAACACAAACTCGACTTGGCACTTCCGACATCTAGTGGATTGGGAGTTACAATATTTCTCTTAACATTGGTTGGAAGTCCATATGTCTTATATTTGGTTGGTAATCTATAGCATTAGTTTTGTCTATAGTTTTTTTAGTAGTCTTAGTCTTAATGGATGGAAAAGATGACTTGGCCCTAATGAGATGATGGTTTATTTATATGGGAAATTACTAAAGGGTGGTACAGGTAATCTCAAGCAACCTTAGGGAAGTATGTAAACTTGTCCATGGTGACTTTAATTTTCAGTTGTGTCTCTAGCCAGTTTTTTATTTTCTCATCTTATGCACTGACTCCCTCAAGGGCCTACCCTTGTCTGACTATATTTCTGCCTAACTTTGTCTATAATATAGTAATTTGACAGTATCAAAATTACTTTGTTTTTCTTCTCCATAACGTAGTCCAGGCTAGTTTAGAAGTCACTGTGTCACACAGACTGACCTGGGAACCTCAGGATCCTATTTTATCCTCCTAAAGTCTGGGATTATAGGTGTGCACCACCACACCAGCCTCACTGTTTTATCTTCATGGTGTGATGTTGACAGTATCAGTACTACTTTGTTTTTCTTCACCACAGGGGAGGCCAATGTTATGTCTTTCTCAAACCTAGAGATAGTACTATACATTTTTTTATTATGAATCTGTGAATTTTTTTTTTTTTTTTCAGGAATCTCCATTTTGCACTTGGGAATAGCTTCTGTGCTGGTCTACTAGTGGTTTGTTTTGTTTTGTTTTGTTTTTAACCAGTGTAACATTAATGGGTAACTTACAAACCAGTTGTCTACTGTGATATTTGGGTTACTTTTTTAAATAGGTGAAGCAAGTCTGTTCACAAAATCAGAGTTTATTACTGCACAATTTATAAAGACCTGGTGGCTGAGTTCCAGGGTAAATTTCTAAATTCAGTGTAAAATGTCTTCACATCTACCAGGGCATATATTGTTACAGCATATTTAAAATGTTGATTCGGCATATTATTGCCAAGACCTTCAACAACTATGAAATGATGAAAGTTGTTGGTCATTTGTCATGTATTTAATCAGTGTATAAATTGCTTGACAGTTTGAAACTAAGCTTTTAAAAAATGAGTGAATCACCCCCAAATTGTTGGATTTTTTCCTTTTTTCTTTCTTGGTGAGTCTTTTTGTTGTCAAAGCGTGGGCAGTTTTGAAAGAAACCAAATCTCTTGAGTGTCATTATTCTTCTAAAAATCTCAACTCTGTATCTGTCTCTTTTCCATAAATCCTTTAGATTATGATTAGCACCATTAGAATGATAAAGTCTTGCTATGAAAGCTTTTAGTTCAGGTAGTGAGATGTCATGATAAATATATTTTTGAGTATTGCTGTTGATGCATATAGAATGTTTTGCTTGTATTTCATTATTACTGTATTTCATAACATCTTGTAGCATATTGTCCATTACAATTTCCAACATTGAATTGCAGTGTTGGCATTCCTTCCTTTAGGTTTCATGCCTTGCGATGACCTAATAATGTTTTCTGACTTATTCTAACATTAATTCATTTGGGGTATTCATGACCATTTTGTAACATTTTGACTAGTCAAATATTTATTTGCATTACTGTTTCTTCCTTGTAGAATCAAGGTCTTCATTCTGTACTTCCCTGTCATATCTTGATAACCTCTTTGGCTTATATGTTCCAAATCAGGATTGATAGCTGAGTCACCTGATGACTTACTTTTGACCTCTTCCCAAAGTTGAAAAAGCGGATTTTCATGTGACATTGTACTGAATTGGGCTAATTTTACAAGAAAAAGCAAAAGAAAAAATATAATTAAAAATTATAAATACACAAATGTATTTATGGCACATACTGTGGGTAAAATTCACCCATTTACCCTTTGACACACATGCACGCAGCTTGCCGTTTGTCGTACCAAGTAGTGAACACAAAGATGGCTTTCTGTATTCCCCTAGCATATCTATTGAGATGCACAGCCAGCTACTGTTATGCCAGAGTACATATTTTCTTTAAAAAATATGGTTGAGGTGTTTTTTACACACCATAATGCCCTTTGGGGAGTAACTGATTATAGTATTATTTGATGTCATTTTTATAATATCTTGGTAGAGCTTTGTTGAACTTGGATCTGTGAGCTCAGTAGTTTTCATTAAACTTAGGGGAATTTTGACAATTACTTCCTCAGAAGGATTCATTTCTTTTGTCCTTAGATTAAGCTGATGTTTGGTTAATATTTTTTATTTTGGATCATTTCTATTGCTGTGTCTTCAGATTCATTAATGTATTTACTGACTCATTAGTTAGGGAGAAGGTTTTTTTTTTTTTAATCTATTAAAGTTGGAGATGGTTCTTTTAATTTATTTTCTCTGTCTCTCCTTGACATACTCGAATTTTCCTCTAACCATGTGTAGCTGGTTAATGTTACAAGAACTTGTTTGTAAGTGAACTCTCACCTGTGTCATTTCCAGGTTGGTTTGAGCTCAGTAATTCTAGCTATGTATTGTATTTTTTGTGCTTTTTCCCATGCCTACTAATGTCTTATTAGATGTCAGATGTAAACTTTACTTTGGTGAGGGTTGGCTGTATGTACATGTTTAATAAATATTATTGGATCTTGTTCCTGGACATAAGTTACTTGAAGAGAATTTGATATTTTTGATGTTCTGTTTTCAGCTTTTAAAAGTGAAAAGAGTAGAGCTTTTCATTCTTTTGTGGTTGCTTTCCCCCCAGTGCTGTTTTGCCAGTGCTTCGTGTTTTCTGTTGGGTGGTGGGATTCCCAGATACCAGCTACCTACACCCCTTGAATAATTTTTCAAATATGTGGGCTGTTCGGGTAACTTTGTCCTCTCCAAGATTCTGCCCTAGAAACACTAATTGCTTCAGTTCCTGAGTCCCAGTTCTGTGCCTTCTGGCCAGGCGGTCTGCTGGGCTTTCCCTGCATTCACAAAGAGGGGCTCCTCGAAGGGCTCACCCTGTTCCCTCTCCTTTGCCTGAGTTGCTTACTGTAAGAAATACCAGTTTCATTTCTTTTTCTTGGTTAAAGCAGGAGGCAAGTCTGGTCACTGCCACTTCATCTTAGCTAATTATCCTAAGCCATTCTCCCTGTCAGTATTTATATTTTTAGTTGTGTCTTTTTGTTCTCTGATAATAAACTTATTCAGCATATTTTCCCCTTTTTCTTAGCCTTGTAATCCCCCTTTCTGTTTGTTCTTTCTCTTCATTTTGGAGGTCTCCTTTTTCATTTGTTAGCTTTTTGAATGTCTTCCTTTTTTGTTCTAGGGAGCTTTTTTGATTTTTGCTAAAGTTGTTTGCATAGCCATTTTGACATTTATTTGTCTTAATGAAGCTTAATGGAAAGTGACTCTGTTCTAACTTTATATCTGCCATAGTGTGTCTGTCTTCTACAGTACTCCCTTCATGTGATTGGAGGCTCTGTAGATCCAGAGCAGTAGCTATGGTTGGAACAGCCTCTCTTCCTCCAGCTTCCTGAAGTGCAGCAGTGTGGGAGAGTTCAGCTCTTAGCGAAATGTGTAGACTTTGCCTTTCTGAAATACCCTGCTCCAGAGTTCACCTCCCCTAGACAGGAGTGCACCCTATTCCCTAGTTTAAAGTCAGAGGATGCTAGCCCCAGTTTTTCAATAACCCTTTTGATCTGATTGAGGTTGTCATTTTTATCATTTCTACCACAACTAGAGTTGGCAGAGGAAAAAAGCTTACCATTTCACTATTTTTCCCTCTCCTAAAATTGAAAATTCTCGGAATTCTGTATACTTTTACTGTCATGGTATCTGGGGGATAAGAGGCAGGGCTGGAGATGAGCTTAACAGTTGTGATATCATAAATTTTCCTTTTTTTTTCTGGTACGGGGGATTAAACTTGGGTCCTTGCGCTTGCAAGGCAGGCCACCGAACCGCTGAGCTAAATCCCCAGCCCCCGTTTTCCATTTCTTAGCTAAATTTTTGTTGCCACTGTTTTTTTCTCTCCCTTTGTTGTTTGATGTAGTTGTATTCATTTTGCTCACTATAGAGAAGAAGTGCTTTTCTATTTGACTTTCTGCTATCTTTACCCATAAGTTACTAAGTATTCTATCACTGATTGGAGCCCTGTTCTTTCCCAGATCCCATGTCTCTGTGGCAGTGCTCCCTGTCTGCTGTGCCGATGCTGTCCCAGTGGGAACAACTCCACGGTGACTAGGTTGATCTACGCACTCTTCTTGCTTGTCGGTGTGTGTGTGGCTTGTGTCATGTTGATACCAGGAATGGAAGAACAGCTGAATAAGGTTAGTCTTTTTACTTATTCCTTGATTAACTTACACTAGAATATGCAGAAGACTTCATAATCTTAGGAAAAGACAGACTGTTAGGTAGCTTTTTGGGTACTGTGATGGTGGTTCGGAAAATGAGCTGTGGTGATACGAGGAAAGAAATAATTTTAAACAGGCAACAGAATCAGTGTTGGGGAAAGGGACTTTTTCTCCCTGAAGAAGGGACATTCTGAAAATAAGTAGAACTTTTTTTTGGGGGGGGTACTAGGGATCGAACTCAGGTCCTTGGGCTTGCAAGGCAGGTGGTGGAACCATTGAGCTAAATCACCTGCCCTTCAGTAGAACTTTTATGCGTAGATAATTGAAAATTAGAAAGCATGGTGATTATAGTTTTTTGAGCAGATTATCAGTGCTTTAGGCAGATTGATCTGGTAGTTAAAGGATAGAAGTCAAATGATTTTGGGGCTGTTACAGTAATGAATACAACGAGAGTATAGAAAGCCTGAATTAGATTTTTTTTTTAGGTATAAAATTGACTGTTTGGCTGGCATTTAAATAATGCTGTAATCATATATTAACAACCAGAATCTGACCCTAGAAAACTGGAAGGAAAGTTGCTGTTAACCAGGAAAGAGAAAAGTTTTTTGTTTTGTTTTGTTTTTAATTTTTTTTCAAGGAGTTTGTGGAAAGAGATGGGGAAGTAAATAACAGTTTCAGTTTCTGATTGTGAGTTGGAGGTACTGTATTGCATACATGTATATACCTGTCTTAGTTCAGGCTGCTGTAACGAGAATACCATAGCCTTGGTAGCTTAAACAATAGAAATTTTTCTCATGCTTTTGAGAGCTGGAAGTCTAAGGTCTGCCAGGGTGCCAGCATGGATGAGTTCCAGTAAAGGTCTTCCTGTTTGGCAGATGGACTTCTTGTATTTTCACCTACTAGAGCAAGCTCTCCGGTCTTTCCTGATAGGGGCACTGCCATGAGGGTTAGGGTTTCAGAACAGGAGTTTTTGGTGCACATATACATTGCAGTCCATGTATAACTAGAGGAATCAGAGCTAGATCTTGTCGTGGATTTGGAGCTTTCTGTTGCTGGGACAAAATTCCTGACATACACAGTTTAAAGGAGAAGAGGCTTAAGGCTCAGGATTTCCACCAGCTTCAAGGCAGACACATCATGGTGGAGGAAAGGCGCTCCACGCTTGGCAGCTGGAAGCCAAGAGGAGGAGGAGAACCCAATCGAAAGGAGCAGGGGCGCCTCCCTGACCGAGGCTGACTCACTTGAGATGTTCTTAGCTGATCCTGTAGGGAGGTGTCTTCCTCCTGAGCCAGTCACGTTGACAGCTGGAATGAGCCATCACAGGGATAGAGATGAAAGTTGAAGCCAAGGTGTCTCCTGCTGAAAACATTCCTATGGAGCAGTGCTGGAACTTTGCCAAGAGCTCCCTAAGGGAGCTGGTAGTGAAAGGAGCTCCTCTGTAGGAGCAGTGAGAAAGAACCAGAAGTGTGTGTAGGCTTCAGAAAGAATTTCCGGGGTGACAAGACTGTGTCTGGGGGAGAGATTAAGGAATGTGACGACTAAAGTTGTCTTTGCATTGACAGCCAGTACATAGCTAGCATACTGAAAAAGCAGTTGGGCTGGGCATGGGAAGAATTCATGCTCATACATAGGAGTAGTATGTGTGGTTCTCAACAGTACTGCCACTTGTTTCATTTAAAAATTCCTTTTCTTAACGGGTTATAGTGTGGCTTTATATTTTTCATCCATCTTTCAAGTTCTGAGGATCAGACCCCAGTCATCATACATACTAGGCAAGCTCTCACTCCTGGGCTTTAGCCCCAGCCTCATCTCCTGAAATGGTCATTTGTCTTTTTCAAGATTCTGAATTAAAATATAAAACTATCGGTTCACTTACTGTTAAGCCAGATCCATTCATGATCAGAATGAGAGACCAAAACTCAAAATGAATTGAAGTAGCATTACTTTTGAAAAGCAAAATGCTGATCTCTTTAGTTCCGAGAGACATACCAGTTACTCTGTGATTTTTTTAAGCTCATATGGACTTTTTTCTCATATGCAATTCAGTGTATGACATTACAACGTAAATTGTAAAGATTTAGAATAAATCCACAACTTAAGCCTCTAGTTTAGCATTGATGTTGATGGTTCATTTGCTCACATAAGAATTTTAACTTTTTCTTTCATCTGATTAAATGTAGGAACTTACTTTGATTACATATTATAAACTACAAGGCAAACTTTAGCTTTTTGGGTTCTTACTTAAACTATTTGACTACTCAGAGCTTGCATTTTTACCTAATGAAAAAATGTGGATCTCAAACTTGCTTTGTTTTTCTAGATTCCTGGATTTTGTGAGAACGAGAAAGGTGTTGTTCCCTGTAGTATTCTGGTTGGCTACAAAGCTGTGTATCGCTTGTGCTTTGGCTTGGCCATGTTCTACCTTCTCCTCTCTCTGCTCATGATCAAGGTGAAGAGCAGCAGCGACCCTAGAGCTGCCGTGCATAATGGGTAAGTGTTTAAATGCTCGGTCTACGTGGCTGCCTCTTAGTAATTCTGAATCTAGTAAAAGAACTTTTTAAGGGGAATAAACAATTTTCAGAATTTTGTCTTTTTATGAATAAGGTAATAAAATCTTCCTGTTTCAACCAGAGAGCATCAACTTTCAGACGTTTAATGTTAGCTTTGGTCATTAATTGGATAACCTCTGATTTATAGTGTCTTATTCTTTTCATCTTAGAAATGAATCTGTACATCCATTACTGTGGCAAGACAAGAGGGGTTCTTCCTCTTTTTAGTTTCATTGTACCAGCCCCATAGAGTTCCCTAGACCTAAAATGTAGTCATGATGGAAAACTTACTCCTGAATGGTGTATTGGTTTTCTCAGTGATTGTTCTACAATCTTTAGTGTACAGCTGTCATTCTCCTTTAATGTAATGTAGCACTTGGAGTGTTTGGGATATATCTTTTTATTTTTTTCCCCCACAAACTAATTTTTTTTTTTTTTTTAATTGGATACGGGGGATTGAACTCGGGTCCTTGTGCTTGCAAGGCAGGCCACTGAACCTCTGAACTAAATCCCCGGTCCTCAAACTAAATTTTAAAAAAATACGTTATTGCTTGTCTGGTAGCATGTGCTACCAAAAATAGGAAAAACATTGGTATAGTAATATTAATAATGAAGAATTATGTGGGAGCTGTATGTTCAATCTTTTAGTCTATAGTTCTTTTAAATTTTATTTTGTATGGTTGCATTTATCATGTATTTAGTAAAACTATTCGTTGTTCAGTGCATGTTACACTTCATTTGGTAAAACTGAAATGGAACCAGTAGTTCTATGCATGAGTGACAAATACAGCTTTCTTAAAACTGTCTTAAAAGTAGTTACATGATAGTTTTCTGATTTTGGGGGGATCCTAAGAAAAAACAATCACATAAAATGTAGCTATAAGATGCTTTTAAAAAATTGTATGTATAAAATTATTTGTTGGATGAATGTTTATTAATAAAAATTCCACTTGTTTTAGATTTTGGTTCTTTAAATTTGCTGCCGCAATTGCAATTATTATAGGGGCATTCTTCATTCCAGAAGGAACATTTACAACAGGTAAGAAATTTTTACTTTTAATTGTGTGATACTGATGTTTTATAAAGGAAACTGATTCCCTGCAACTCTGTTTATTTTTCTTTTGTTTGTTTCCCACTACAAATGAAGGCATGTACATGACATTTTATTTTCTCTTTTGCTTATTGAAAAGTGCATGTGAAAAGTGAGTAGCTTCAGTGGAGCCACACTGCCTGGCAAGTGCAAGTCCCTGAGTTCGATTCCCTGTACCAGAAAAGTGAGTAATAAAAATGACTTCCCACTTGTGTCCACCCTTCCCTTCCAGTGTGGTTCTACGTGGGCATGGCAGGGGCCTTCTGCTTCATCCTCATCCAGCTGGTCCTGCTGATTGACTTTGCCCATTCATGGAATGAGTCGTGGGTGGAGAAGATGGAGGAAGGGAACTCGAGGTGCTGGTATGCAGGTGAGCAGCTCAGTGTTCTGGTGAGAACAGATCGGGAAACCTTACAGGAGTTTCAAGGTGTAATTTCCTGCGGAGTAGTTTTCAGTTTGTCAGTGGCATCGTATCTATCTTACTGTATCTGCAACTTGTTAAAGATCGACCCCAAAGCAAAAAAGAGATTAAAAGTACTCTGAGTAGCTAAAGTGAATGTTTCAAAGCCTATTTCTGAAAGCTTGTGCATTTTATACCATCGTTTTCTAGGGAAAATGACTGCTAAATTATATATACAGTGGTACAGTTAATGTAGACAATGTTTGCATAAACATTTGGGAACATGGGATATCATTGTGATTACTTTATGTGCATCAGTAACACCTAAGAATTCCTGTGGTAGTGTAATTAAGGTTTGTTTATGCTAATGAGTGTGTCCTATGTTACATTATGCTCAGAAGCACAGATGAAAATTCAGATACTGACAGGGCCAAATAGGTAACAAAAGTGAGGGAAGAGGGCTGGGGATTTAGCTTAGTGGTACTGTGCCTGCCTTGCAAGCTCAAGGTTCTGAGTTTGATCCCCGATACCAAAAAAAAAGTTTTAGTGACTTTAATTTTTGTACAGATAGTAGGGACTGTGCTAGACAGAGTGCATACTTACTCTCAGGGAAACTATGCTCATTATTGTTTGCTATACATTGAAGCTGCACATTTGGATTTTTATGTAAAATAATATGGATTTTAGCTAACAATAACAAAATAATTGAAACAGTATAAGCGATATCTGTTGACTCATCAGCCTGACATTTTTCTCAAAACTAGTTTGTGATGATTGGTTTCAGTGATTAGAGTAAAACCAGTTTGATGCTCACAGAAATAAGCTTTAGTCATTTCCAAACTTTATCCTCATTTGTTAAGAAAAAGTCTTGATATAAGGGTTGCTGCCTGTTTTATTCTCTGCTGTATTGCCAGGCCAGGCGCATCATAGGCTTTCAATAAATAGTTGGAAAAGCCCGTCGGACAGACCTACAGGAACACTTCACACCACATGTTAGCACAAACTCTCCACACATTACGCATATTGAAGTTTATGTAGAAGAATCTTAGCTTGTCCTCGGAAATAATGAACTTACCCTTGCATAATACGTATTTTTGTAAGAGTTTAGTTGGTGAGGAAAAACATTGGTTTATGGACTTGTTTCTCAGTACCCCTTCCTTACTTACACTTGAGTGATTATGGTTCTTTAAAAACCTCCAGTAATATTCCTCTCATTTATTTTTAAAGGAATGCCTAATATATATGAATGTGATTTGTAAACTCTGTAAGATAAAATATTCCTACTAATAAAAGTAATGTTACTACCTTAATGACTTGAAAATATGTCATAGTCAGCTCTGTGTAATGTACCGTACATAGAATTCTTCAGTGGAAAAATTCAGAATTAACTTTCTCCTGCTTTTGTAGCCTGTGTAATGCTATTAGTTACTTAAATCATATTTTTGGATAAAATGACAAATTGTTTTTTAATACAAGTCACATGGCTAATTTCTAGGGTTTTGGTAAAATCGAATTTTTTTTTCACAGCCTTGTTATCGGCCACAGCTCTGAATTACCTGCTGTCTTTGGTTGCCGTCATATTGTTCTTTGTCTACTACACTCATCCAGCCAGTTGCTCAGAAAATAAGGCATTCATCAGTGTCAACATGCTTCTCTGCATTGGTGCTTCTGTGATGTCCATCCTGCCCAGAATCCAAGTACGCTGTGAACACCTTGCTCAGTTTTCGTAAATCTTGAGTGATGTCAGACTACTTACTGCGTTGCTTAATATTTTGCTTCTAGGAGTCGCAGCCAAGATCGGGTTTGTTACAGTCTTCAGTAATTACAGTCTACACAATGTACCTGACATGGTCTGCGATGACCAATGAGCCAGGTATGTTTCAAGTCCTCAGTGTTTCCTTTTATTCAGAGGTAGTCATTTTGGGGGATTAAGATACCTAAAAGTCTTCTGGAACAGTAGATTGTGGAAACACTTTTTTCACTTGGTTTCTTATTGAACAAAAATTATGTTATCAAAAATTATCTAAAAATTATAAGAAATACCTGAATACACGTTTCAATGTTGGTAACTTATACATAGGTAGAAATAACACCTCTTGAAATCATTTTGACTCTAGTATACTTTGATTTTTCCATTAAATTACTCTTTTCGTCTAACTACCTTGCAATGGAATATAATTGGCTCTGTAATGAATTTGCATTATAGGCCATTTGTTTTGCTTTCCATGGAAATAGATGCCAGCACAGTGTATGTAATTCAAAGAAAGAGGAGTATTTTTAAGGAAAAACAGACAGTGTTCTCTTATGTGTAATTTGCTTTAGAGATTAGCCTTACCTAATTTTTATTAGTAAAGTGGACATTGACAGATGAGGCTTTGTGGGAAGAATGTACATGACACTTTTGTGAATACTTTACCAGTCCTTTAATTCTTTCACGAGATCAAGTAAGTATTAATAGTTGTTAGGCCTTCATGGTCCTTTCCACATAGCATTTGTTACTGGTTTTATGTGTAAGCTTTCTGTTTATAACATTGCACTTTGACAAACTAATAAACTTCATGACGCCTGGGTTGTAATGTCACAATGTAGGGTACAAAAGCCAGTGCATTATGGCTTATAGCATCTTAATTTTATTTCTGACTCTTGTAAAATTTGACTATCTCTGTTCTTGCACAAGGTTGAAAATTAAGTGATTTACTTTTTCTCAACACTTGTATATTGGCATAAAATTTAAAAGGAAAAAAATCTTAAATTCTCCTTATTAATACCATAAAAATTGTTCTTAAGTATTTTTTGGTTGTTATACGTGTGCCTTTTCCAGAAAAACTTCTTGAATTTCCAGCAGTATGAGTAAAGAGAATGCTATGCCCTAAAACATGCCATTTTTTGTTACTCTTACATTGTAATTTGACTCTCAATTTATTTTACAGAAACAAATTGCAACCCAAGTCTTCTGAGCATAATTGGGTTCAACACCACGAGCAGCAGCCCAAAGGAAGGGCAGTCTGTCCAGTGGTGGCATGCGCAGGGGATAATAGGACTCATCCTCTTTCTTTTGTGTGTCTTTTATTCCAGGTAATGTAAACCATGAACAAAACGTGCTACACAGGGAGCCTAGCTATCAACTCAGGAATAATTTCTTTTCAATACATTTTTGTTTCTGATCTCTGTCATGCAGCATCCGCACCTCCAACAACAGTCAGGTTAACAAGCTGACCCTGACGAGCGACGAGTCGACACTGATAGAAGATGGGGGAGGCAGGAGTGACGGGTCCCTGGAGGACAGCGACAGTGCTCACCGGGCTGTGGACAACGAGCTGGACGGCGTCACGTACAGCTACTCCTTCTTCCACTTCATGCTCTTCCTGGCATCGCTGTACATTATGATGACTCTGACCAACTGGTACAGGTGCTTGCACTGTGTGGCTGTAGGCAGGGGGGCTTTGGGGACTTTCGTTTCTGTCCTAAGACGTGCTCTGTGCTTCTTCGTCGTGCAGTGCTTTCCAGCCCGAGGGGCTGCTCTGCTCACAGCTCAGCTGAGTGAACTGTGAGTCCGGGGGAGAAAGTTCTTTTAAAACTGATTTTATCTAAATGATGATAAAACAACTCTGTTTAAGACTCGAATTGTTCAGCTTTAGGCAGTGTGATTTTAAATAATTTTAAATGTGTGATACCCTTGAATGGTATGTGTAATTACTTTCAAATATCAGCAAAAGGGAAAAAATTATTCTTTGCTGAATTTGATTGAGAGCAGCCTTGACTATTACTGAAAACAACATAGTTGTTTTTGTTTTTCTGGTACTCTGAATTGAACTCAGGACCTTGTGCTTGTGACGTGGGCACAGTGCCACTGAGTTAAATCCCCAGCTCCTAACGGCACAGTTTTTAAAATTCCTACACTATCTCATATTAAGCTGTAAGAATTCAGATAGTTCTCAGTAATTCAAAGCTTTGGCTATCAGATAATAATGGTGGTAAAAGGTAAGACTAGATTAAAAAAGACTTAACACACAAATCTGCTACATTTCCTCAGTACTCCGTTGATTCTGAGAAAGCAAGGGAGGGTGATTGGGTTGGGGTTCACAGGCAGCTCTGGATGGCACGCCTTACCCGTTCACAGGCCATGTTCCATCTCTCTAGCAATGTACAGGAAATGCAGAGTCCTGTGTCCTTCGCTGTGTAGAGGAGGTTGCTGGATTTTACCTTCACCCGTTACCTAATCTGTGGGCCGTAGGGCAGCAGGTCCCATGCTGCAGCTGGGTTTTGCCCTGACAAATTGGACGTACACTGATCGCCCTCTCCCTGCTGCCCTTCATGTTTTACCTTACACCTCAGGTACGAGCCTTCGAGGGAAATGAAGAGCCAGTGGACAGCCGTGTGGGTGAAAATCTCCTCCAGCTGGATCGGCCTGGTGCTGTATGTGTGGACACTGGTGGCTCCGCTCGTTCTCACAAATCGTGACTTCGATTGACGGGGCTTCAGTTCTGCTTTGGTCATTGCTCATTGAAAATTAGCAGTATTCCCAACTTTTGTAAAGTTGTGTATGTGTGTGCTTCCTATGTAACTTCTCCAGTGTTGTTCTGGCATGAATTAGATTTTACTGCCTGCCATTTTATTCATTGTTTTCTTGCCAAGTGCATTCATTGTGTGCAGTCAGAGTCCCAGATGGAGAGTGTGAGTGTGGTGGTGAGCCAGGAGAAGTGGACATTGGCAGGGGTGGCCTCTGCCCTGTACATGTGAAGTTAGAAGTACATAGGAATTAGAAGTAAATTAACAGTAAAAACAACTGCCTGAAAGGTTGATATTAAATGTTAGACTATAAACTCTCTTAGCATAAAAGTAAATGTACAGCTGCCTTTTGAAATATTTGATTGTATTGCCTTACGGAGGACTGCACGGAACATAACATGGTTTTGCTAAGATTATATAAACATGTCACTTAAATGCAATAGTCTGGAAAATGCAAGTTACTCAAATTTTGTCAGGATTTCCCTTAATGTGAAGGTAAGGTGCTTACATAGGTAGAGTAGTGGGAGGAAGTTTGGGCACAGAGCCTTCAAAGACAGGCAGGTTGTAGTGGGAATTAGACTATCCAGTGAGATTGTGATCTTCCAATGACTTTGACCAACCAAATGAACTTTCCTATTGGTCATTAGAAACCCATGCAACAAGTGTAGGTGTAACAGATACTAGGAACGCTGAAGGATTCAGACAAGGTTTTTAAAAGGATAATCATAGGTTTAAAAAGTTTAAATCTTTGCAGGTTAGTTTTGAGAGTCAAAAGGTAGTAAAACTTTGACTGGGAGGGAATAAACTAAAACACTAGGCTTCAGTAGGTGCTTAAAATTTAATGCAGTTCTTTCATTTAAAAATGAAACTAAAGCACGGGCTTAAATGCCTAATTAGTGGCAAAGCTAAGAAATTCTTAAATCCACCAAAAAGAGCATCAGTCTCTGACATTTAGAAATACTTTCTATTCAAAATAACATGCATAATTGATTTTCCACCTTATTAGGAGTGGATACTTAAAGTGACATGTCTTGCTCTTCAGCCTGCCTTCTGTCTGTACACTAAGGCTGGGAGAATGCTGGACTGGTGTAGAATATACTGCTTAGCGTACTGCACAGGTCAACAGATGTTTAAATGCTTTTGTATTTACTGCCATGTAATTGAAATACATAGGTTATCGTAATCTTTCAAACTAGAAATCAAGCACTATGAAAGTTAATTTAGATAGAAACTTAGTTGTGTAATTAGTGCCTGATGAAGCCTTTAAAAATTTACATTTGCTTCTTTAAAAATATTTATTACTATGAGTGGAATATAACAATTCACTTTCATTCCCTCTGTGTATTGTTTCACAATTTTGAATGGCTGTGTTCTCTCTTAATAAATGAATTCAGAAAAGTGCAGTGTGTCAATTCTTTACCAATTTACTTTTGTATTATCTGTAGAAATGATTATATCATTTGCTAATGACTATTTCTTCCTTCCAATCAGTATACCATTTATTTCCTTTTCTCACCTTACTGCATTAGCTATGGCTTTCATTATGTTGGAAAAGAATAGTGCAAGATCTTAACCCTTTATCTTGATCTTGGTGGAGAAGCTTCTAATTTCTCATCAGTAAGTAGCTGTAGGGCTTTTGTGTTTTGTAGATACGTTAAGCTGAGAAAGCTCCCCTCCATTCGTCTGTTTCATTTTTAATCATACATTTTAGATTTTGCAGAAACTTTAATCTATTTTATGATCACAGGTTCTGTTCTTTAGCAGCCTACTAATATATTTACTTTCAAATGCTGAACTAGCCTTGCCTGGAACAGATCTGTCTTGGTGTATAGTTTTTATATATTGGATTTAATATTTTGTTGGTAATTTTCTACATCTGTGTTCATGAGGTAGTGTAGTTGGCATGTGTGGTCCTAGTATTAGGGTGATGCTGACTTCATTGAATTAGGAAGTATCACCTGCCTCTACTATCGAGAGACTAGTTGGCACAGATTTTTCCTTAAATGTTTGCTAGAATTCATAGGTATAGTCACATGGGAACTGGTGTTTTACATTGGTTTTTTTAAAAAATAAAATGATCAGGGTGAACCACCTGTAGGCATCTACTTGCTCATGATTTGCTTTATGATTCCTGTAATGTAATCGTTCATCTCTGGCCTAAGCAATTTCTCTATTTTCCTTAGTTATCCGGAGGCTTCTCGTTTTTTTCCAAAGATTTTTAGTTTCATTTATTTCTGCTGTTTCTTGTGCTTCTTTTGTATTTAATTTCCTTCTTTCCTAGTTTCCAAGGGTGGAAGCTTGGAATTATTTGGACCTCTTTTCTCAGATGTGCATTCAATGCTATAAACTTGTGTGTACTGCTTTCACTACACCCCACTAATTTCGATAAATTTATTTCATTTACTTAAAAAATTATTTTCTAATTTTCTAGGTATTTTGACTGCTACTGAAAAATGTGTTGCTTAATCATGTCTTTTTTGAGTTTTTCCAACATGCTACCAACAAATCAAAAGGAGTATCGCTAGCCATTTCCAGCTCAGCAGACTAGAACAATCAGAATGCATGACAGAGGGTCCATTCTTCAGAAGGACGTAACTACCCTTGTATGTATGTACCTAAGAAAAGATACCAGTACATATAGCAAAAACTAATAGAACTGCGGAGAGAAATAGGTGAATTAAGGATGCTGAACTCAACACCATGGATTCACTAGTTTTGACTGACATATACCCAAAGACCAGTTTATCTGATAAGAATACGTGTTCAAGAGCGCATGGAAGAATGTTCACTCTAGATACAGATCCTGGGACATGAAATACACCTTAGATTTAAGGAGATAAAAACAGTAATGGGGTGGTGGTGAAGATTTCCATGTTATAATTTAGAGATTTAGTTGACAAACTACCCATGAACATAAATTTTTTAGTTTAATGAAACTTTGTCCATTTTTACAATTTTAACTGGTATGAAATGATATTTTTGTATTTGGGAAGCAATTCCATTTAAGCAACTAACTACATTTGGTCCAGACTTACTAATTTTATTAGTAGAAAGACCAATAAAAGTGATTAGATCCATTTGCACTATTAGTACAAGACACCTGATGTACTACTGGGTGATTCAAGCCAGTGACACAATGTGTTAAGCCAGTGCAGTAGTGTGTGTGTGTGTGTGTGTGTGTGTGTGTGTGTGTAGAGTGGGTCACAACACCGAAGTGCTACACATCTCCTGTTATGTGAGAACTTATTCACCTGTTATACTTATTAAAACTTAAATGCCTAGTTATCCCACTGCAAAGGTAGAAAAAATTTAGCTGATAGGAAAAGAAAATGGCTGGGCAGCCAGCTGAGGTGTTTACCATAAACAAGATCTGTTCTTATGTATTCTGAATACCCAGAAAGCTCAGTTTTTGCTTGGGAGGACTATGGCATCATTATCAAGATGTAACTTACAATGTAACATAATGTACTTATAATTGATTTATGTTGATTCTGGGGGAGAAACTGAATAAATTATAGATCAAATCATTAGTATTTTGATTCCTTTAGAGGCAGTTGTATTTTAAAATAGCAGTTTTTCAGTTTCTAGAGAGCTTCAGAGCTCCAAAATGCCCCCAAAGAAAATGAACCTGGTCATATTCTATAATGAGAAAGGGGAAAAAAAGACAAATGCTAGCTTATATATTACCAGAGCAAGCTTTAGGAAAGTGACCTCTTCAGCTCATGCTGAAAATGACCTTTCCAAAGTCGGGTCCCAAAGTACAGTCAGTCAACCAGATCCAGATCCTAATGTTCTGGATCAAGATCTGAAATAGCTGACCTCTGTGGGGCCTTTTTGTTTTGTGCTGGGTGGGGCTTTGTACAGACCAGGTCTTCCTTTTAAGTCCTATCATAGTTAAGACCTTGAGACAGACACTCAAGAGGACCAAAAAGGCCTCTCCTGGCATTCTCATTCAGTAGCTCCATACAGTGTTCAAGCATGAACTGCACTGCTTCCAGTCCACTGCCTGAAAGTGGAAGTTTCAAGTGACAGCACCCTGGCTTTAAGTCTCTGCAGTCCTTGGGATCAACTGCTCCAAAACTAGGAACTAATCTAATTACTTTTGTTTTACTGTTCTTGTGACCTTTTGAGTAGGGCAAACACTATACAGACTTCATAGCATTCCGGAGATTCTGTTCTTATTAGCAACAACGAGGCATTGTTCTCATGTCTTTATTATAAACACATAAAGCAAGCCAGTATAGTCTTTAAACAAAGCACAACTTTTAAAATACATGAAATTTAGAAACATTGTATTCCACTGCTGCATTAAACAGCCTGATTTTCGAATGGGGCATAAAGATCTTAGTGATCACATTGAGACAATAATGCACAGACAGGTTAAAGCCACTTTCTTCCTAAGGAGAAACTGGTTTGTGTGGTAACCACCTCCAAAGAAGACATGTAACAAATGCTAATACCCAACATTCATTATATTTATTTTACTAAACAGTATGGTTCAAAAACACAAACCAGAAACTTTCACTTAAAACCAGGCCCCCCTCAGTGGCTGGCGGACTCTGACCTGTCCCTGTCTGCAGAGTGGGACTGCACAGCCAGTGAGCACTGTGTAGGCTCTGCCTTTCCTGTGGACCTTGAGAAACTTCTCTGAACATAACACTCACTTCTCTGGATCGAGAAAAAACAAAATTTACAAGATACAGGCACTTTATGTTCCCAGTTTTAAAAATAAACCAAAGAGAAATTATTTAATGAAGGTTACTGAAACAAAGTTCTATTAGTGACTTACACTCAGACAGCATGGAGCAAGTAAAACAATCAAATTTAACTGGATTAATGGTCACATTTGTAATAAACCCAAATTACAACGGGGGAAAAACTGGTATCTGAACAACTGAAAAATATGCCAGTGATGTGCATATAAATTGTGTACCTGGGCAGCTAAGTAACATCTGAAAGCTCTGCAGTGATGTGCGGTGAGAAAGCAAAAGGTGCTTTTATTCCACAGTATCTGATTAGAACAAAACCAAGCGCTGGGGATTTAGCTCAGCGGTTCAGTGGCCTGCCTTAAGCGCAAGGACCAGAGTTCAATCCCCGGCACCAAAAAAAAAAAAACCCAAAAACCAAAACCAAGCAATTTACAAAAAAAAAAGTACCAAATGATACTTCAAAATAAATAGTTCATCATTTTGATGAATATATACACGCTGAGTCCGCGTCCTGGGGATTAACTATCTAAAAGTGGCATATCACTATCCAGCGGGGCAGGAGCCAGTTCACATAAATAGAAGAGGGTGGCTTCGCTGGCTTCTGCTTCCGTCAGTGGCTCCAAGCGCACGAGCTTACTCTGGGTTGGTTCTGGGTCCAGGCTGCTCTCCAGAAGCTCATCTACTTCTATAGGCTTCTCTGCAGAGGACGCAGCTTCTGCCGGTGCCGTGGTGCTGCTGCCCTGCTCCACAGCAGACGTGGGGTTCCCATCGAGGAAGGCAAGCAGGGGGAAGGCGGTGTACTGGATGAGCTGCTTGTCTGCAAAGACAGTACACACTGACACGGCTGGGCAAGGCCCACAGGCTCCCCGGGGCAGGATGTTACTGCAAAGTCCTAAGGCAGAGAAGCCGGGCTCTTTCTTACTCAGCAATTATGAAACGGTTCTTTCAGATCGCCCAAGTTAAAACAGGAAAAAAATGACTGATTACCTCACTCATTCAGTTTTCCCTTTTTCATAGAACCTTGAGACAGTAGGCACGGAGGCAAAGCCAGTATACTCTGTGATCAACTGTTAAGGACCACAAAATCGGCTTTGGTGTGCAACAGTGTCTACACAGGGGTCCTAAAAACAAAACCTACCAAAATTTGTAGTACCTCTATATCTACCTGGTTTGGACTTCAGTTTTCTTCCTTCTTCAGAAACTGGTTGAACATTATTCTTGGTAGCTTCCAGTCCTTTATTCTCAGACTGGAAGAAAAAGAAAGAAAACCAATGTAAAAATACTTGTTTTACATACATTATATGGCCCAGAATAGTACTGGAAAATTAAAATGAACACAATATGTAAATGTTGATATGCTATCTGAAATATGTGGGAAAGGGAAACATCAGAAAAAATGGTCAGAGAGAGATCTGAGTACAGTACAAAGACTACTTAAAGCAATTTGCCATCAGAGGGCCAGGGATTTGGTTCAGTGGTGCCGCCGCCTGCTTTGCAAGCGCAAGGTCCTGAGTTTGATCACTGGTACCAAAAAAAAATAAATAAATAAAAATTTAAAAATAAAAATAAATTTTAAAAAATTGTCATCAAAGGGATTAAGAAAAGAACCCATACTAAGAGGACAGTTAGAAGGGGAGAGCTCACAAAATTTGTCAAGGGTAAAACATGGGAATGAATCAAAGACAAATGGTTTCAAATGCTAGTTGAGAGCTAGCTTTTTTAAACAACTGAAGTCATTTTAAAAGGCTGAGATCAAGCTTGTGTCACATTTCTCTTCAGGCAGACAAGTGGAGCAGCTCAGCATGACATGGTGACATCTTAAACACCAGCCCTGCACTTGGAAGCCTCCAGACTGATACAGCATTTCTTTATCTCCTTTTTGTGGCTCTTTTTATCATTTAAATGGATTCTTTCAATCACTGTCTTCTCTCCTTACATCTGATTGTGGTAGGGAAATTAAATCTTTAAGTTCCTCAGTAATCTTTTCAATGATCTTCAAATTCTAAAGTGCTGAGGTTCACAGTTTTTTATGAATAACTGAAAGTCCCAGATTTCTGCAAGCTGGTTAAAGGATGTATAATAAACCAAACATCTCCAAAAAAGCCCTAAAATTCCCTTGATAGTCATTATAAAATGAAGCAGTACAAGTACCCAGGAAAGAAGCCCCAAGATAAAGAGAAATTACTAAATCTTCCCAAAAACTTTAATTATTTCATCATTTAGCATTAACAATAAATACATAAGCATTCATAATATAAGAACCCATTTATATATTCCTTAGAATAGGCATTTCCTAATAATGCTGTTGTTTTCTAAAATGTAAAAACCAGCATGACAGATGGGTTTCATTTCCCACAAAAACTCTTATCATAGTGGCCACTTAGCCAGCCATACTCAGAAGTACCCTCCTTAGGGAAACGTTTTCATTTACACCCTATCATCCTCATCATGCACAATGCAATGAGATGGAAGACCCAATTACTTGAAAACATTAAATTCGGAACTATAATAAAAGTCATTCTCCATTTGCTACCTAACTTCTAATTCTGAAGTCTATATTCACACTATTGATTTTTTATAAGGAAGACAATCCAAGAACAGGACTCAATGTCTAGCAATGATAAGCATTCACTAAAGTAACATGACATAGGTCCATTCAATTCAGGGTGTATAACTTAGCAACACTCAGATATATTTATTGCAACACAACAGCTGAACTTATCAACAGAATCTTACACTATAAACACAAGCAAATGGTGGTCTACATGCCAAATTCAGCATGCTCCCTGATGATAAAAAACGTTTTATAAGAACACAGCCACAAATTATTTATGTACGTATTTATTTTTTAGGGGGTGGTTATGGTGACTGGACCCTGGGATTCTCAATGAACTGCATTCTCCACCTTTATTTTGAGACAGGTCTCACTGCCCAGACTCAGCTCTAACTTTGACTGTCCTGCTTCAGCCTCCCCAGAGTGCTGGTATTAATGGTGCATGTCACCACACCTGGTACAGTCTTTTCTGAATTGTCTGTAGCTGCTTTTGCATTACAACTAAGGTATGGAGTGGTCAGGACAAAGAGCATGCAGCCTGCAAATCAGAAATATTTACTACCTGTCCTGTCCCTTTAGAGAAAAACATGCCAATCTCTCATATACTGAATGCATAACCATTTCCTGGTGCACAGATTCTTCAGGCTCTAGCTCAGCTGTCACTGTGAATGTAGAAAATCTAGTCAGGCTACCTCCTTGACACATAACAATAAAAAATTTAACCCCATCACCATTTAACCCCATCACCATAATTATTTGTATCTATTTCAAATATGCTCACTCTTACACAAAACAAGACTCAAAATAAAATTCTGACTTCATATTCTGAAATTAAGACTTGATTTCTTTGAGGTCCATTAAAAATCAGGGCCATTCAAACTCCTAGAAGGGAGTAAGTACACAGCTAGATAGGATGGCAAGCTGTACAAAAACCACAGGACAGCTTTAGCATCTGCTCTGACAACTTCCCACTGTCCTTACCACTCCTTAAAAACCAGTTAAGATCCCTTGTCAACACCCATTAAGCCTCTCTAATATTTAATAAGTGATGAGAGCCTTCTAATTTAAAAGCCCAAAATCTGTACTTCACTTTTTCAATTTGCCAATTAGCACACATTAAAAACATGAATTTGTAGTAATACAATGATGGAACTTAAAGAATATAGGTACCAATACATAATGAAAACTACAAAGTTTAGAGGACAATGTGTGAAATGCAGCATATAAAACATGAAGAAATCATACTTTAATCACTGATTTCAACGGTATCCCTAAAGAGGGCAAGATTTGGTGACTGGATTTCACTTCGAGTTCACCTCATGTGTGCAGCAGAACCAGGCAATGATCCACCCCATAACCAAGGTTAATTTCTCACTTCAAATTCTGTCTTGATCATACATAGCAGGTAAGAACATGAAATGTTTTTTTAACTGGGAGGACACTACTCTCTACTTACTAGGATGTTTTTAGACTTTTACAGCTATGGGTCCTGACAGCAACATGAATTAAAACTTACTTTTGTATTATTGATGTAATCTGTGGGATTCATCTGCACAGAACTAGTGAAAAGCTGAAAGACCAAACAAGAAAGATGATAAGTTTAAAAAATATTTTAAAAGAACTGTGTGTTCAAACTTTTATACAACTACATTGAGTGAGGAGCTCTAAAACTTGTGTACAACTTTCCACACAGGCAAACGGGTTCAGAAGAGAAAATTGGGAAAGAAAAGAAAAACAGAAACAAAAGCAGCCAGCCAGACCTCGAGGTAGATGGAATCTCACAGTTCCCTCTCAAAACTGTGGGGCAACCCATTGGAGGTGAACCATGGTTTTCCTGAATTCTTCTGCATTTTACTACTCCATTGAATGTCATGACCTTTCATTTTTTTCTCTCCCTACATGCCTCGGTTTTCTGTGGTCCCGAGGGCTGAGCCCCATGTCCTGACACTAAGCATTCTCCAAGTACCTGTCCACTTGGTGACCTTCACAGAATCTGCCTGTGACTGGCGCCTTCACTCCAAGCCATATGAGCCCTCAGACAGGACGGCACAACAAGCCCACTTGGCTGCTTGTAACCTCACTGACTACGGGAAGTCCTAAGTGTGAGGACCATGCTCAGTGCACTCCAATTGATCTAAAGGAAACTTTGATCTCAATCAAGGCTTCCAATTTGTCACTCCGGGGGATTTCCTCAACATGTAAGTAACTGCATCACAACGAAAATACTATTACTGCTCTCCAGGTCAGCTTACAGTCTGAAAGAAAAAGTAAGGCCAACACCAAAGAGCCAACATATACTCAGATACAATCCAGCAGGGCAACAAAGGACGGTGGGGCTCCAAAGAATCAGGGATTCGAGAAACAGAAGGGAAGAAAGAGCAGTTACTCGTGATGGAATCGGAAACGACTTGACAGCCATTCTGTACTACATCTTGGTCCCTGGAGAATGGTTAGGACTTGGGAGAGGCAATGAAGCATTAGCAACCACAAAGAAGGTATGGTGTGTTCTAGAGATGGAAAGGACAGCCCAATGACATGAACATCCTTCGCTGAACAGTTGTTTTTTAAGTGTGTCAACAGCACGGCCAGCTGCCGAGGCTGCATCCTACCTACTGGCACAGAGACCCCGGGAATGACCTAAGGAGCAGAGGCCACAGGTACACTCTTTCTCCCTCAAAGTTCCATAAAGCTTTCGGCAGTCTTAGAAACACTCCTGGCTCGCTCTCCTTTCTACTTCCTTCCCTTTCCATCTCACCTACTGAGCCCTGAGTGGACACAGAGCTCAGACCCTGGAGGGCAGACCGCACACATGATCACTCTTCTCTGCATCCCCGCTTGTCAGGACCTCAGAGGCCTAACCAGATGCTGCCCTCCTGAAGGGGACACCCAAGAAGGGCAGTACTGCGTCCTCTCTGGCCTTGCACACCGATGCAGGGCCTCTCTCGGGTGCCCAGCAGGCACATGCTACAAAATTAAAAGCGTGATGGCAGGTGAGGGACAGACAGGGCTGCTGGAATCAGACTGCACTTGGGATGGGCCAGCCCGGAGCCCTGCAGAGAGGGCCACACATCGCCAGGACTTATCCTGGCACTTAGGAAAACACAGCGTGATTCAAGGGTAAAATAACAAGGGCCCTGGATGAGAGAAGCCACAATGAGAGCCAAAGCTGGCGTAGCCTGAATATTTTACACACTACACAGGACTTAGGGAGTGCTGAGATCGAGGACATCCAGGCAATCCAGAGAACTGTCCTGAGCAGGTAGATGAAAGTCTGGTACCACCAGGGAAAACTGTAAAGCTGTAAGGGAACTAGTTTAGGAAGTAAAACGTTTGGCCACATCTAACTGATGACCCCAAAGGCATGGACTCAGAAGCCAGGCCAAGTTTACTTTGAACAACATGATGACCTGGAGATACGCACTGCAGAGGAACTCTACGAGCCACAGTCTTCCCAGAGGGGGGCACAGAAGTAGAAAAATCAAGAGGGTAAAATCTCAGATACCTTGGGAATAATCACAAAGAAAAGACAGTGGGACAAAGAAAAGCTCCTCAGAAGAAACAGAATGGTTAGGAAGACAGGAAGTAAAATCAACAACAAAACAATTTTTGTGGTAGAATATTCAACAAGGCTATAACACTAGTACAGATTGTTATTAATTCTTTTAATAGCCCTTCATATTAGGTATTAGCTAAACTATGGAAAAACTGAGAATGGTTAACTTTTCCAAGGTTAATAACCTATCTACTAAGTAACAAGCCAATAACAAACCCAGACCTGATATGAGAACAAACCTTCTTGGCTCTTCTACACTGGTTCAGTAGACTAGTTAAGCAAAACAAAAAAGGGAGGGAAAACAGCCTACTTATTATGAGAAAACCAAGTTAACTTAGGTACTACAGGGTTACAAAGACACAAGATAAGATTTCAGAAAGGACTGAGTAAAAACAAGGTAAAAAATACAGCCACTCAGAGAAGGATTTAGCTCAGTGGTGCCACCACCTGCCTTGTAAGCTAAAGATCCTGAGTCCAATCCCTGGTACAACAACAACAACAAGAATGAAACAAAAATACAGCCACTCACTTCTAAAGTTTTGTAGTGACAGAAAGCAGGAAAGTAAATTAGAGTCAAAATGCTTGTTTTTCAGATAAGAGAAAATCTGTACTTATGGAGGACAGACGAAAAGACTGAAGATTGAGGGGCTGGGGATTTAGCTCAGTGGTTCTACCACTTGCCTCACAAGCGCAAGGTCCTGAGTTCAATCCCTGGCAAAAAAACAAAAAACAAAACAAAACCTGAAGATAGAGAAAAAATAGGCAAGAGGACAAGAATACAAATTGGCTTAAAGAGGAAGTATTTCCTCTAGGAAGAAAGGAAATGAGACTAAGAGCAGAAACACAGCTTCAGGGCTAAGGCCCAGCGAATTATTCTTTATGAGTAGGGGGCTGAAGACAATTTCCCTAGGACAGGAAATGTTCTAAGCCTGAGTGAGGAGATCTTGTTGAAGACTGCAACAATCTATCAGTGGCCAGAATGAGAGGAGTTTCTTTCACTCTTGGCCACCTAGGGCACGGCTGTTGTGAGAGGCCCTGCATTTTGAATGGAGACACAGCTCACAAGCACCAGAAGGGCCAGCAATGATGAGCACGAAGAAGTAGGGCAGCACAGGGAAGCTCAATTCACTCAGACGGTGACACTGGCTGGCACAGAAGTCAAGCTTCAAAGGAAGTGATGTTCATCTTGTGTGGTGCTACCAAGTAGAGAAGGCTGATAACCCATGCAACACTGCAGAGGCTGATGGGAAACAGAGGTGGACGCTGCTAAGCTACTGAACTGGAGAGAAAACTGATGAGAGAACACTAATTCCTCCCATCTTGCTGAGAGCTCAAAGGGTCTTCTGAAATGAGACAGAAGCTGTACTAAAGGTCAGAAAAGCAGGGGGAAAAAAAATGAACAAAAAGCTTACCAGAACAGACAAAAAAATGTTCACAAAAGAAAATGTAAAATGAAGAGAACAAGCTTCTCCTGAATGGGGATGAGACCATGTGGAAGGCTGTGGGAGGCAGAGGAGCTGGATAAAGGGAGAGGGGACTGGGAGACAATGGCGGTCAGCACCAGCAATGGCAGATTAAAGGTTCACACCCACATCATACAGAGGCCAGGTGCACAGAGGCAGGAGGGTTCACACCCACGCTACACTGGGGCCAGGTGCACAGACCCAGGATAAGGATTCACACCCAAAGACAGGATGACTGGCGCAGGGAGACCTTGGGACACAAGGCATTATGATTTAAAAACCGTATCAAATATAATGTTCTAATTCCTAAGTATTAAGAAGGATCACCATGCTATGCTGAGTCCTAGCATCCACAGAGACCTACTTCCACAGAATGGAGATTCAAGACAATTTATTTCAGAGTCCCGCATAACACAGCAACCAGTCCAAACAACTGCTACTTCAACAGTGCTGAAGAGGACTAAGATATGTATTATGGGATTAACTGAGTTTCCCTCATGGACAAACAGCAATCACACCCCCCAAATATCCCAATCACAACTGTTCATCCTTTGTAACAAAACATTCAATTAAAAAAGAAAATACAAACAGAAAAAAATAAAGACCAGATGCACTGATTTCTGAATAATTCACCTAAATATACACGAAAAGCACAGTGAAAATTATCCAAGTACCTACATCAACCAGAAGGTCTGGGTCGATGCTGAACTGTCTTCCCGACAGCATGGCTTGGAAGTCCTCTAGGCTGCAGTCAATGCTGTCGAGATAGTCCAACAGCTCGACCCTGAGGAAAAGGAACGAGTTCAAAAGAACGACATTAGGTCTCCTCAACTTGACATCCAAATCACCACTGACCTCACTCACAAAACACTCTAAGCAATGCCAGGATCCGTTCTTAACCCTAAGAGATACTATTCATGACTCAGGACTCAGGGAACTTGCAGCCTTTACACAAAGCTTCAATATTTACAGAAAGTAAGGCTCCACAACATTACATGGTCTAGTTTACCATTTTCTTATTACTGGTAATTACACTGATTCAGTCATGGTATAAACAAATACCACCACAAACACAGATACTCACGCAAATGTTTCACTACAGCAATATGAGGAACTTCCCTGGAAAATTTCAAAACTCCTCTCGGATCAACTAAATCTGTCATTACACAGCTCGGGCCTGCCCCACAGAGAGGCAGCGGGTGGGTCCATCCTCAGAAAGCAAGCTCGTTCCCGCGGTTACACAGACCGAAGCAACTCACTTTCCCAGAAGGTTGATGTTGTCGTTCAGGATGGAGTCCATCATGGTCACGGGGTCATCCGTGGTCAAGCTAGAGGACCCATTTAGCTGGACAGCACTGGACGTGAGAGGGCTGCTGCCACTGCTGCCTGAACTTGGGGATTCCCTGGCCGACTCCGTCTGCTCGCCGCTCTGAATGACAGGTGCGTACTCATCCTCATTGTCATCCTCAACGATGACAATGTCAGGGTACTGGCTGCAGCTGGATTAGCGGTAAGAAAAGAACCAATCACATCTGCAGACTCAGTCAATAAATCACATCATTCCAATGACGCCGGGTAAATGCTCCCCAAACCGAAAAGGGTGCAGTTTCTTGGGTGGGTAGCTTCATCACACAAACTGACAGCTCACTGGACACAAGACCACAGAGAATCAACTTTTAAAACTCCAAAATAAAAACCAATTCTTACTACTATTTATTTGCTGAGGTGTGAGGGATTTTATTGGGCCAAAGGTCATCAAAGGAAAATATGTTTCTTAACATTTAAATGTTTTCATGAATTTTATTTTACAAACTCCTTACTTGGCAGGATCAGATACAACATCCTCATTTGTTTCGGGAATAACTGGGATATTTTCTTCATCTGCATTGTCATCGGTAACATCATAAATGATGATATCATCTGAAATCCGCTCCCTTTGCTTTAAACCTTCGCTCCTACTGTGTGGAACCTAAAATATGAGGGAGAAAATTATACTGAAAAGACTGAAATCATACTGACTACCAAACTGGGCATCATTTAAAAAACAAGACACACATACCCCTATTTCTCAAATTCTGGAAATACAACAATAAGGAAAGTAGCTGTGTCTTCTGCCCTTCTGGGAGCAATACTAGTAGTTCTCAGAGGTCTGAGCTACTTCACCTGTGCTACTTAATTGCTACTTTTACTATCGAAGTAGCACATGATAAGCCCGAGAATATGTGCATGGCAAGTTCTTCAAATTCTAATATCGTATTTATACCTAAAAAAAATAAGTCTGGGGATTTCTGAGATTCGAAGCATAATCACATGGTCATTATGTTAATAGGGATTACTTCATCTCAAGCAGTTTTGTCTGACAACTTACGATAAATGGCTTTACTAAAAGAAAGACAGCATGTCAGCTACGTCACACTTTAATGTTAGCCTGGCTTTTTTAGGTGCAGGTACATTTTAAACTACAGATACATTCAGGACATAGTTCTATTAATTAAAAAAAAAGTTCAATGCTCAAAAGCAGGCTAAGATCAGTATCAGAAAACAAAAATCTACAAATGTCAACACTAGATAATAGAGATACAAGAGTACTTTATATGAATCCAGTTAAAAATCCTTGAATCCTAAAGTACACTTATTTAGAAACAACAGTAAAACAGTTAGGGGCCCAGGATTTAGCTCAGTGGTGCCGCACCTGCTTCACAAGTGCAAGAGCCTGAGTTCCATCCCCGGTACCAAGAAAAAACAAACAAACAAAAAAGCACACAACAAACAGCTGGGAGAGGAATCAGATCTGAAGTTAATTCTGCTTGGGGGATGGTCTTGATAGTTCAATAATAAATCTGTAGTACTTCTAAGATTTGAAAGTAACAAAGGTAAGCCTCAACAGTAGAATGCACACCATGGGGATTTAACCCTAGCATCTCAAAAAAAAAACAACAACAAAAAAAAAAACAAACTGGTGAAATGGTTATGAGAGGTCTGGACTCTGGAACAATCTGACAGTAGACTAACCTACAACTGGATATAAATTTGACAAATTATCCACAGAGCCTGTCACAAAAAATTAAGGTAACTAAAACTAAGCCGGGCGTGGTGGTGCACACCTGTAATACCAGCACTCGGGAGGGCTGAGGCAGGAGGATCGCTGTGAGTTCGAGACCAGCCTGGGCTACATAGTGAGTTCCAGGTCAGTCTCAATTACATAGTGAGACTATTATTATAATTACATTGCCATAATGTTCAATTTATATAGCACTTGAACTACACTTGATTTATAAATCTCAAAAGTAACAGCAACTAAAAAAAGATATAATGGTCACATGTACACAATGATAGCATTTTTTTGAAGTTTAGACATATGCAAAATAATACAAAATACTGCCCCTAGATGCACACATATAAAACAGCCATGGGAAGGAGAAATACTAAATAGAGAAAGAGGGAAAGACACAGCTTGGAAACAAGCAACTGGGAAAACTATATTTGTAATGATTTATTTCTTAAAATAATCTAAAGCAAATAATGGAAACTGATGACTTTACAAAAGTAGGGACTGAGCCCTGCAGTATTACTCACTGAACTCTGGCTGCATGAAATAATGCCAGGGTACTATCTGGTAAGATAAGTACAAAAAAATATTAAAGAGTTACCTTGTGGTGATTATCAGCTGGTTCTTTGACTATGTGTTGAAACAGATTCTTCTTTTGGGCTCCATTAGTGTTTAGAAGTAGAGGCCTGGAAATCAGAAGAATATTTATGTAATTCCATGGAGCAAAAATACAAGGAATTTAAATTTTTTCTAATAATGTATACACTCCCAAGTACATTTTCACATCAAATAAGACTTCAGTGGGGAGGGACGCAGCTCAGTGGTAAAACACTTGCTTCTCATATACAAGGTCCTGAGCAGATGCCCACCTCCACAAAAACCAACCAACAACAAAAACCAGGAGCTAGGCCAACAAAACAAAAAGGCAAATATAAAATCTGGCCTTTTCCAACAAATGGCCTCTTTTTGGAATTTCTCTTCCATGAGCCACCTAACACTACTTTAAGTGGCTAATGTAAATGAAGAGTAGGTTCTTCATTAACTATATGATTTTTTTTTTTTTTTTTGGGTACCGGGGATCAAACTCAGGTCCTTGTGCTTGCAAGGCAGGCGGCAGAACCACTGAGCTAAATCTCCAGCCCCTTTCATAAACTATATGCCTGTCTGTAAAGTGACCATTCAAGCTATTCTTACCTCTCAAAACTGAGAAGGACGACAGAAGGAAGTACCAGTTAAGCATCTCTAGTCCAAGAATATAAAATCCAAGTGCTTCAACATCAGAAACTTTTGAGCACTAATATAACACCGTAAGTGAGAAATCCCACGGCTGACCTCGTGTGATGGGCCAGTCAGGCTCGGGCACATGACAGTATGTCAGATGCCCCAGGCCTTTTAGGTGTTTGATATGTATCGTTTCATGCACAAAATATTAAAAATACTGTATGCCATTATCTTCTCGCTGTGTGAATAAGGTCTCTATAAAACATAATTTCTCATTCAATTTAGAGTCCATCCCAAAGACACCTCCTCTTAGATGCAAATATCCGCAAATCCAAAAGTATCTGAAATCTGAAAACACTTCTGATCCCAAAAATGTTAGCTAAGGAATACTTAACCTGCAAGATCACTCTTGTGATGCAAATATAACAAGCAGCGACTATTCTGTTGGTATATCAGGAATATACACAGAATTGCAGGCTATTTGTGGCTAAATACTAAAATGTCTATGTGTAAGTCAAAATGTTTTATCATAAAAACTTACCTTTTACGTTTTAAACTCACAAGTTGATTATTCTGAACCAATGTAACAATAAACTGGACAATCTGAAAGGAAGAAAACAAATAAAAATTCTCCCACCATTACATTTTCAAGTCCTATAAAGTAAGTCTGGTGACATGTCTTTTATTCTAAGTCACAGAATTTCTCACATGCTAATATTTGAAATCCAAACACATCTTATAATGAGGCACAAAGAGATGTATCAGCTTCCAGCTGTTTTGTTGATAGTACCAAACTTGACTAGATCCCAAGTCCCAACTTTTTACTTAAAATATTTTCAAGATTACATTAAAATGCAAAATTGAAAGCTAGTGCTTGATAGGCAACATTTTTCTTACACTAAGTAATACAATTACAGGCAAAAGGAATGGCAAATTCTCTGAAAGTAGGTCATTAAACTTTAAGTTAAAAAATGTTTACTGGCTGATGCTGGGAAGATTCCTGCTGAGACACATCTATCAAAAGCTTCTTGCTCACAATCAAGAGACAATGATTTCATCTTGACCACCTGATTAAATTTGGAGGGAAAACATCTGGACATGTGAATAAGCCTTTATAATATTCTACAGCAGTGTTTCTTAAACTGTGGTCCACAGTCTGGAACACAGGCCTAGGGACTTGTTATACATGTAAATTCTCAGACATTATGGAATAGTCATTTGCATTAAGAGCAGTTGAACCTGATGTCCTGAGGATGGGGCCTAGCTGCGTTTTATTCATGTATGAGACCACTGGGTAGGGTGTAGCTATGGTGATAACTACACATCCTCCCTACCTAATGTGCTAAAAACATTAGGACCATAAGGTAAACTATGAAAAGCAGGCAGGCAATGAATAAAGTGAGCAGATTACTGAGACAGTGCAAAAGATTGACTTGTAATTACCATATAATCACGGTTAAAAGAGTATTACCAATTAAGAATATCTATTGTTTAGCACAAAGAGGCTTACTAAACTGTCTGCTCTACAGTCAGTAACCAATATTCAATGGACAGAAATCCAGACATTTTAACTTAAGAGTTAAGACAGCATCAGAGTCTGAAAAAGCCACTAAATTGTTTATTTCAAAGAAAATGCCAACAGCTAATGATCAGACATTAAAGCTTAAAGTATCTATGGAAGAGTTCAACTTCAATCTTAATTTGGGGGGGGTACTGGGGATCGAACTCGGGTCCTTGCGCTTGTGAGGCAGGCCACCAAACCGCTGAGCTAAATCCCTGGCCCTTCAATCTTAAATTTTAAGTATTGTAGGACAATTCTAAAGACATTAGTGCTTAGATTTATGAGAAAATGAATCACTGGTTAAATTTATTTTCCATCTCAGCTCTCTGGACACACATCGTGCACGATTTTTTCTCTGAGGAAAGACTTAATGTAGCACACAGCTTCTGTATCTGAAGAGTTCTATAACTGGTTCTTAACACAGATCACTCAAGGAATCCAAGGCCAAACTTTACATTTTGGCAGCCAGGAACTCATTCTGTAGCCAGAGTTGTCAACAAGCATTATGTGATTCTACTCACCAAAACAGACAGATCAAACTCAGATCTGACAAGATATAAATGTTCGTGAGAACTTGAAATGCAACACAACTATTTTACTAACTACCTCTGCTTTTAGAACAAAATGTCTACATATTGTGTAATACTATGAATGTAAAACATTGTACAAAGCACTAACAGATTTCCTCTAAGTAGTACAGATTAAAAGACATGTAACATTTTAAATCTTATATTCTTAATAGGGTTAGCCATTAAAGTCACCTGTAGAAGTTTTTAAAATATATGTACTTGGGCTGGGGATTTAGCTCAGTGGGTCTGCTGACTGCCTTGTAAGCGCAAGCTCCCGAGTTCGATCCCAGGTATCGAAATAATAATAATAATAATAATAATAATAATAATAATAATAATAATAATAATAATAATAAAAATAATAATAATAATAAAAATATACGGACTTCATGCATACTGCAACCATGAACTAATAAGAGGAAATTTTTAAAAATCCATGTATTCAAGTAAACAGAACTGAATTCTACTACATACTGATTTTAAGAAACTCTGTACTGTGCTGGGGATTTAGCTCAGTGGTGCCACTGCCACCTGCCTCTAAAGCACAAGGTCCCAGGTTCGATCCCTGAAACCACCACCCTCCACCCCCACTCCAAAAGAAACAGTCTGTACTATTTTGATGCAAACCCAAACTAAAACTGCTGCTGCTCATCCCTGCTCTCTGCCTGCACCGAAGTCCCAGGTCACCCAAGTCAGAGCTCTATTTTTAGTCCAGGAGCCTCCCAGCAGGACCAAGCTGAAGATCCCCCACCTTCCCTCCAGAGAAATCTGCTGCTTACAGTTCTGTTTACTCATAAGCAAAACATAGTTGCCCAAAGCAAGATGGTAGCAAAGACGGACTCATGGACACTTGCAGGCAGGGATTCCAATCCCCCACTCATGGTCAGCCCAGATGTTCAAACACAGGACTCATTTCTCAATACTAACTGCTTTTGTGCATGGGCTAACAATGCTACACTCATAAAGCATTTCTTGACTCACAATTTGGTCAAGGGACTTGAAAATTAACTACGCCTACTGCTGAAAACACAGCTAAAAAAAACAAAACACAGAAAGCTTGTTCTCCAATTTTTAAAAATTAGTTAAGAAATTGGTAGTGTATTAAGCTCCTAAGACTCAAGTATCTCAAAAGGTCCTTTTCTACTCCAAGAGCTGAGATATTACCTAGTGGTATGGAATGACCATCTCTAGCAAACTGTTTTTGTTACTGCTAAAAAGGCTACATAACAGTTGGCCTAAACTGTTTAATTTTATAATTTTAGTTCTGTATATACAATATAGAAAAAGCTAAGATCAATTACTGACTACCCAGGCAGTTTTTAGTCACAAACGGTACTCATTCAACACTGCAGGTGTATCAGGGGAAAAGAGCTTCTCACCTTTCGAATAACTTGCTGCTGTTGTGCGTGCTTCGCTCTCAATTCTGAAACCTCCTTCCAAAGGGACTCGTTCTCACTACAATTTATTACAAAATAAAACAAACAAAAGCTCTAGTGAGAAAACTAAGCCTCAATATCTTTAAGAATACCAGAAAACTATACTTGTTTTTACCAAACTACTTTTATAAGACTGGGAAACAGGTTTAATTACATAGCAATGGCAACTATCTCGGCACAATTCAGAATCCCTTCGTAACTGTAGGATCTGCTACCCAGGTCAATACATGTGCAAAACTTAGGACACACACCTACACCCACACAACAGTAGGCGATTTACTCATTTTGACAATCTGGTTCATGAGCTTATGTTTAAAAATAAGCTAACCTTTACAGTATGGCTACCAAGACAATTCTGAACTTGAGAATCACTTTAGGAAAGAGATGTTTACTCTCATGCTTGGTATATTCCAGGTCTTCAATGTTTTACGTTTGCTACTTAAACTTTTCTATAAACTGCCAAGAGAGGAATCACCGTCTTTATTTTACGGGTGTGGACCCTGGATGCAGAGAACTGAGAAAAGCAGCCCAGTACATACAGATAATTCCTTAACTACTGAAGCCAAACTGGAGTACGACCGTCTTTTGTAAGGGCTGGCTCAAACACAAGCGTACACGAACCACTAAAATATGCTTTTTTTGTTAAAGCATATCCGATGATATAGCAAACCAGTAACTTGCCCAATACTAACAGTTTCTTTTTTTTCACTTATCATTTTTGTAACTGAAACTTCAATTAAATATTAATTATTAGTAGAGCTGATAATGCTGAGGTGCAAAAGATAATCCAACTATTAAAAGTTTTAATTTTCAGTATTTTGAAAACCTTCACAAACGCCATCAATCCCTAACCTGGACTTTACAAAAATGACAGTGGATTTACATACACAGGTGGAGATTTTTGTTTTTGTTTTTTTGGGGGTTTTTTTGAGACAGGGTCTCACTATGTAGTTGGGACTGACCTGGAACTCACTATGTAGACCAGGCTGGTCTCGAACTCATAGCGATCCTCCTGCCTCAGCCTCCCAAGTGCTGGGATTACAGGCATGCGCCACCACGCCCGGTGGTAGAGATTTTAATAATACTTTACTAACTGCTATATTTTTGGACCCATATTAAAGATGAGTTTTATCTGCTTACAAGCACAGGAGATAAAATCTGAAAGGATAATTTGAGAGTCCATTTCCTGAAGGGCTAAACTGAGATGCAAAGTATTGGATCAAGGGGCAGCTTGCAAACACAAAAGAAATAAATAGCATTTATATAAAGTATGAAAAAATTATGAAACATAATGCTTACTGAAAAAAGGGATTCAAATTCCAAGGTTTTTTTTGTTTTGTTTTGTTTTTTAAGACAGGGTCTCACTATGTAATTGAGACTGACCTTGAACTCACTATGTAGCCCAGGCTGGTCTCAAACTTATAGCGATCCTCCTGCCTCAGCCTCCGGAGTGATGGGATCACAGGCGTGTGCCACCATGCCTGGCCCAAGGTTATTATTCATGATGATATTTCAGTTAGGAATAACCAATGTCCCACATTTAAAATGGGAGAAAGAATACATAAGAAATCCTTCCTCAAGTCCTTGGCAACCACTGAGGGAAAATACCAACTACTTAATAAGAAAAAAATACAAGTTATTAGCAGGTTAGTAAAATGCTACCAAGTAAAGCAGTAAAATAAAATTAAGCAACTTTCTAAAGATCAAAGAACACTTTCTAGGCCTGTGTGAAGTTAAGTATGAAGTAGGGCAAGCCTCTTGCGATCTTTCTCTATTTTCTGCGTCCTCCTTTCCCCTAAGAGAGAGGCCACACAAAGGATTTAAGAAACAGTCATAAAAGCAATGATGGGCAACATATAGTATTTTTAATGTATGCCCTTATTTGTGTGAAAGCTTACCTAAGCAGAAATGTATTTCTTACCCTAACTTAAAAATGTACTACTGTCTCCTCAGTAAACTTACATATCAAGTTATTCTGATAACTTACTTTTACATATTCTTTTGATGACACCAATTAAAATATTTAATTAGGGTACAGTCTATGGCCACTGATCAAAAAGCACCACTACTTGCAGAAAAATGGCCCTTGATTTGGCTTCAACAGAGTGACTACTTGAAATATCACACAGCCTTAACCCCAACATGCATTTTGTATTTGGAAATACTTTACCTTTTTAATTCTGAAAGCCTGGACTCAATAGTTTCTTGTTTTATTTGAACCTTCTGAGCACTAGTCATAATTTTTGTTAAATCTTCCTGACTAATTTTATTTTCTTCAGGTTTTGAAGCTGAAACCTTCCAAGAAACAAACGTAGAAAAGTCAAACATACACTGCACATCGACAATTACAATTTAAATCTTCCCTGCTAGAAAAGGTTTTTGCAGCCTATTCAGGAAGTGAATTCTGGTTCCAAAAAGGCCAGGACAGAATTCTTTAAAATTTTTTTGTTTGTTTTGGTACTGGGGATCCAACTTGGGACCTTGCGCTTGCAAGGCAGGTGGAGAAACCACTGAGCTAAATACTCAGCCCTTTTTACAATTCCCCCCCCCAAGACAGAATTCTAGGAAGAGAGTAAACACAGCTCACAGGGAGAGGAAGCAAGGAGTAACCATTCTAAAACTAAAGTTCCCAAAAGCAGAACATCTTAGGGTCCTTTTTGTTTCCCATTCTGCTAAACCGTCCAAAATTCCTCCAAGGTTCTTCCACATTTAATTAAACGTAACAGCACATGGAAGCTATCCCCAGCACAAGGTACCATTCACTAGCAAATGTGACCTGGTATGCAAGACCGCTGTGCGAAAAGGACGCATTCTGGGCACACAGGATGTAATGGTGATCTCCAAGGACCATCTTCCTTGGAGCTGAGATCCCAGAGAGCTGATGTAGGAGGCACAACAGGGAACCCCATGGTCAGAACACTGTAAGAGCAAAGAGCAGCCTGGCATAGCTGAGCACAGGCAGGCGCAGGATGTAGCTAACACATTCATCAGCTGGTGGCCCTATCAGATCCCGTGCCCAGAAGCTCACCTTCCTTTTGATGTTCTCCAGCAGGTCATCCTGGCCTTGTCTGAAGTAAGGGTGCTGAAACTCAACAGGACCATCTCTTTCCTGCTTTACAACTCCAGAGTCCATGTGCACCACTTTACGGAAACCATCTGGAAGAGATTCAACATTCACACGACCAAAATGAGACTGAGGTGAAAATGAATGATGCTCGTACTGCCAATGTTTCCCTCTCTCATCCTACAAGGGCTTGCTAGAGGCACCACAAGCAAGCTGCCCATACTCACACATATTCAGCTGCCTCACAAAGCTCGCCATGTTATTGTGCTTGAAGTATTTGGGAAGAATTTCTTTCGCAAATCTTTGTTCATCCAAGACCAAAAAACTCTGACCATTCTGAAGAGAAACCAGAAAAGGTCAGTTAGTTGAGGTCCTCTGATGTACAGCCAGCACGAGTTCAAAGCCTGCAGTCCTACAACAGAGCTTCACCCACCACCTCTACTCTGATGGAGGCAACAAAACCAAACTGCAATCCAGGGCCAAAGGGCAATGAAGCTTTCTGATGTCAACCTCAAATGGAAAGAAGCATTATATTCTGTGGTAAAATAGAAGTCCATTAAATAAGAAAAAGAGTTACACTTAGGAAGCTGAGGCAGGAGGGTTGCTGCCAGTTCCAGACCTTCCTGGGCTACACAGCAGAGCACTATCTTGGAAACCATACACAAAACAAAAAACACATTGGAAACTTAGTATAAAAATACAGTGACTGAAAAAAAAAAAAAAAAAAAA